TTTTTTATTTTTTTTAGTTTGAAAAATCACTGACTAAATATATTTTAATTTAATTAAAATAAATTTTATCAAAAAATCTTTTTAAATATAATTTTTTTTTGTAAATGTAAGTATTTTTTTTGTTATATTTGTTTAATTTTATAGATCTAAATACTTTTTGATTCAAAAAATGTTTAGGGACTTAATCGTTCAAAATATGAATGTTCATTGGGTTTTTTTCGGATCTTTTTCACTATTTTACCATATTAACTAGTTGTACAAGTCATAAGAATGTATCCAACATGTTTTAGAAAAGTCCAAGGAGTTATTTAACATGTTTTGGATTGTTCAATGACTTATTTGTTCCAAAAAATTGTCCAATGAGTTATTTAACATGTTTTAAATTGTCCAAGAACTTATTTGTTCCAAAAAATTGTCCAATGAGTTATTTAATATGTTTTGGAATGTCCAATGACTTATTTGTTTCAAAAAATTGTCCAAAGATTTAATCATTCTAAACACTAAAGTCAATTGGGTTTTTTTTAGACTTTTTCCTAATTATTAATATATTTATATTAATTAACAACTAATTATTAATAATAATTTGTAATTAATGACTAATTAATATATTTATCAGCCTAATTATTAATATATTTATCAGTCTTTTATATCTGATTTGTTAAGAGGTAAGATTATTTAGACTGTTTTTTTTTTCCAGAGGCACTTATGTTTTATTATCATTTTATCTGATAAGAAGTAAACCAACCATTTATTTGACTCTTATTGTTCTCCAAACTCTCAGCAACGACATTTCAAAATCGATAAACCTTAATCGGTCATTTGTCTCTATCAATACTTAGCAAATCGATCCTCATCTATCTCAATTGATGTATTTTAATAGAACTTAAAAGTGTTAAATATCGTTAATAACATATTTTCATTTAAATAAATGTTAATTATAAAATTTAGATGTAAATTTATCAGTTTATAAAAATAAACAGTTTTATTGATTCAAATTTCAGACTTCAACATTACTTCTTATCAATCAAAAGTGAAATAAGACTTCAAAATTTTAATATCTATACTATATTATAATGCATTTGGCTAAAACT